GACTGCCATCTAGGAAACAAGCTAGCTGCTAATGAAATGGCTGCCAGTAGACAGCCCAGGGTGTAAGGCAGAGAAGATAACCATGGAAAGGTAACTCACCCTAAGGGAGGGAGGCAGAGTCGTAAAATGCAGCAGGGGCAGTCAGGGAGTTGGCCCAGGAAAAAAAGGCTGCAGACAGATGAGCTCTGTTATAGCAGGTAGGTCATCAGCATAGATCCAGGTTTTCTGTTTGCCGTGGAAAAACACAGTAACATGAGAATTTCCTCATTTTAAGGAGAAAAACATAGATTTTCTTCTTTAAAGAAGAAAAACGTGGGAAACCAGTGGGTTTCCCCTTGCAGGCTGTCAGACTTCCAGCCTTCAAGGGGATGGGGGAGCAGGAGGGGGGCAATCAGGCAGGGGGCACCATGTGCATGCACATGCATGCACATGGCAGCCAGGCAGTATGGAGAGCAGCTACATGTAGGTAAGTCTTAGAGGGTGGGGGGGAGGGGAGGATTGAGGCCCCCATAGTGAGGGAGGGAGGGAGTTGGACAGGGCTGGGGGAGCTCAGGTAGGAATGTGCAGCTGCAGGGCTTGGGCAGGAGCAGAATGGAGCTAGAGGTGGGGGGGTGGCTGTTTCCCCACCCTGTGCACACTCCCAGGGGGGGCATGGCGGGGCACATGCCCCCCAGATTTTTGCATGGAGCAGGGTGGATGTGGGCTTGCTGCTGCAGGCTTGAGGCTTCCCACCCTGGGGCCTCTGCGGTCCAGTGGGAAGGACCCGATGCAGAAGAGCAGGGCAGGGAAGTTCAGTTCCACCACTGGGAGCCCACACCAGCTGGGCGAGGCACCCCTTGCCTGCCCAGCAGTAGCAGGGGCGGTAGCATGGAGTTGTGATCCTCATTGCTGCAGGGTGGGCAAGGAGTGCCTCGGCATGGCAACGTGGGGCTCCTGGTGGTGGTACCACAGAGCCCCACTCCACTCTGTCCTTCTACACTGGGTCTCACCTGCTGGGCTGCTGAGACTCCCCAGGGGCAGGGCAGCAGGGTGGGAAGCCTCAAGCCCACAGCAGCCAGCCTTCATCCACCCCTGCCCACAGGCTGTGCTCCAGCCATGCCGCTGGTAGGGGAGGGGGAGCCAGGCTCTGCTGTCTACTCTGGCTGCAGCAGCCGCCACCTCCCATGGGTGGCAGCCAGGGCTTGGGCACTGCTGCGGGGCATGGGGCTGCAGACCTGGGTCTCTGGCCCTGTAGCTCTGGCAGCTGGGGGCCCCACCAGCAGGGCTGGGGGCATGGGGAACTGTGGGTTGGGAGTGAGGGCCACCAGTGGGGCCAGAAGGCTGCCAGTCAAGAGCAAGGGGCAACAGCAGGGCTGGGGGGGGCTGTGGCTTGGGAGTGAGGGGCATAGGCAGGGCACCGGCGTATCAGGGCTACTCAGCTCCACAGAGCAAAGGAGAGGGACAGACGCAGCTGGACCCACATCCTGGTGAGCGAAGTGGGCAGGGGAAGGTCTGATTTTCCATGATAAAAAACCCCAAATCAAACACCAAAAGGTATAGGTATTTAGGATTTATTTAATTAGAATGATTGAGGCAGTGGTAGGCTTCCAAATTACTTTAAAATTGTAAATATATGAATAAAACTTTGTGTTTAGCTGATATCTATAAATATTGGTGTTCCATTTTAACCGTGGAAAAGTGCATTTTGGGGGATTAAATCAGAGAATTTGAGATTTTTATATCAGAATTTTCTATTTTTAAACGGAGAAAACCAAGGGCACACCCAGAGGAAAGGGGCGGAGGTTGGGAAGACTGAGATGCTGACAAGGGAGTAAAGGCCTGAGGTGGCCTGGTAGTGGCTTGGGGCAAAGTGCCCCACGTAAGAAACAACTTAACACCTGCAAGGCATGGGCACAGCTGTAGGAGAGGTTCAGAGGCCAAGAATAGCCCATAAGACAATGGGAGCACTTATACACATGAAAGGAGCCTGCTCTGATGCGCTGGAAATCCAGCACATTAGAGCAGACTCAATCAAGTCTGCTGGAGCACATGAATTAATGTGCTCTGGCAGCCTCATGCATCACGTGCATCAGCAGCACAGCACGTCTCTGCACTGAGAAAATGGCAGCAGTGTGCTTTGAAATAAAACACGTTTTATGTGCTATAGTTCAAAGCACCCCACCACCATTTTCTCAGCATGGGGATGTGCTACACCGCTGATATACGTGACACACAGGCATTTTTCATTAGCACAGCTTGCTAATTAAAAGCGCCCAGCGCCACATTGGGACCACACGTAAAAATGCCTTGGGTGTCCTGGAGGCACATTTGAGCTAGGGAGGCCCATCTTGTGTAAAGACAAGATTTGAGGCCAGCAGGATTCAGAGCAGGGATCTGCTGGAGGACTGGGGCTTGCTCTAAAACCCACAGGTAACTTTCCTTTTAAAAAACCCAAACAATCATTTATGTGAAGGTGAACATTAAAGGGAAGGTACCTTAGAGCCAGAGCCAGCAGTTGCCATTTCCCTCCCAGGGGATGCCATGGCCCTGGGGCCCAGTTCTGTTATAGTGTCCAACAGACAGATCTTGCCTAGGGATGTGGCAACTAGCACAGGTAGAGTCTCACTGGAATAAAATAAACTTGGCCTTTCTTAAAGTAAGTTGTAAAGATACTACATCATGTGCTGATTCCAAACTGCTAATGTAGAGAACAAAGCTCTCTATCGTGCACCAACAATATAGTTCTATAGTGCATCAGCTAAATTCATTCAGTTCGGCTTTTTTTTCTTTTTCTTTTTTTGTCAGAACTGTGTCAGCCATCCACGCATTTTATATTGTGGCTGCTCTTGCAATCTGCAGTCAGGCTTTAGATTTAACAGTATTACAACTAGTTAGCGTAGTTTGATGTGCGCGTTAATGTTTGGAGGCTGGAGCAAAAGATAATTTTTTCCCCCTAAGAATGTATCTACACAGCTTGATAGGCTAAGGGAGAATTCTAAAACTGTTTGGGCCCAGTCCCATAGAAAGTAGTTGTAGGTGTTGAGCCACTTAAACTATACAAGTCTATGCTTGCAAGTGCTCCAGCAGGGAAAATGCTGAAGGCAGACAAAAACTCACACAAGAAGGTGCTGAATTTTTTTTGCAGGGAGATTTTGCATAAATGAGCCCCTAGACCTGCCTGCTATTATCTATGGATTTACTTACAAGCTGGGAAATGTTTTTTATTCCACTTGTAAGAGGCTGCTATTAGACATCATGAAATAAATAAAACAAGAAAGGGATGTGAGTTGATGAGATAGATTTAAGACTTAGCAGTGGAAAGCTGCTTACAGGCTATAGGACAGAGACCATCCTGTGAAAAACAAGTCATCTTATATGACGCTGGAGCCTAATGGACAAGGCACAACTTAAAATTTTGGCTCCTAAGAGACCATGAAATTCTATAGGAGCGGGGGAGTGATTCTTCTGAGTGAGGAACAGCTGCAGATGTTCATTCTAGATGGGACCAAAGACGCATAAAGACACAATTTTTCCTTATAAACTATAATAGTCAATTATTTTTAAAACCCTAATGAATACTGACAAAGGAAATTACACCCCCCCCACACACAAATAAATCGCATTTCTAAGTAACATCAAGGGTTTAACTAACTCACAGCAAGAGGAAGACAAAGGGCTGAGATCTGCATTTTATCCTCAAACTGATATGCTATGTCTGTATCACACAAAGAGCTCTGCAAACAGCATGTGATCTTCCATTAAGCAGGGGATGCAATGCCAAGATATGACCTTATGAATGAAACCTAGAACAGACAACGCTTTTCTGGTGTTAGGGGAATCGCTGAATGTGCATTAATTGAAATAACTTTTCGTATTTAATTTTGGTAGAAACTGGTTCAGGAAAGTGATGCTATATTACACCATCTTTTTCTCTCCTATAACATCTATAAAAGTAGAAAAGAAAGTACATGAAAGAAGGCTTGAATTTTCATTTGCACAAGAAACAAAGTCAGAGATTTATTAAGCACTAGCTCACCAGATGTGCTCTCAGAGTCATATTACGCAACAGGGACTTGCTTTTGTTCCAGCTGTAACAGGGAAGAAAAATTCAGCATGTATTTTCACCCATTGTAACGCCTAATTCCACGTTCTGGTTTGATGGCATTAATTAAGAACTACTTCCCGTTTCCCTTTATTAAAAAAAATAAAGAAGGTGTAGTTTGTACTCAGTGAAAGCACTAAAACCATGTGAACCCTATTGTGTGCCTGCTTCCTGTATATTCCAGCTGGCTTGGCTTATTCAGTCTGTGGTGCAGTGTGCCTCTCATGTGCAAATTATGCAAATATTGTGCAGATCTACAGCAATTTATCACTAGGAGAAAAGGTGAAAGAAATGAACACCACATTTCTAAAGCAAGGCAATTTTATATTACAAAAAGAAATAGAAATCTCTCAATTAACTTGGTTCCAAAGCAAAGAACAAACAGACATTAAGTGTATGCCATATGTATTATAGCTCTCATATGGCTCACAGTAATTAAATGAGAAGCAACGTGCTTATATCTCAGAGCAGCACTCAGAAAAACCTGCAAGGATAAGCCAGGCATTCTTCATGAATAAAGTCAAAGTGAACTGCCTGATAACAGATAAGGCAGTGTGGCCACCCTGATGCTATTATGAGAGTATACAAAGTATCAGAGAGTTGCAGTGTGCAATAAAGACTTTGCTGCAGTGAAAGGTATGGCAGAAGTGCAGGCAGACCATTGCACATAGGGCAACTATGACATGGTGCAATGTACCACAGCCAGCTAGTCAGTTTATACTAGACTTTGGTTCAAAGAAATGCGTATCAAAATAGGATGTCTCCCTGCCTGTACCCTTCTCTTTCAACCATCAAGTCATCCCTAAAGCTGGAGTCTCATTTTGGTATCTATTGCTACCATGTCTCCTCAACACCATCCC